ATGTGGCACTTGGCATTGCGAAATTTACAAGTCAGTCGAGTGTCGCCTACCGCATGATTTGCAAGGATTCCAGTGGTGGATGTTATTATTTGCAGGTTGTGTGGACGTTGGACTGTGATTAGCGGCTTTGTTGACACTTTTGAACTGCCGCGTCTGTTGAGGTTCAAGACCTGAACCACGATTGTGACTGAACTATACTTTCGGCTCCTCACGTACGGCCGCACGTACATCCTGATATTGTTCACAGACCACCTTTGCGGTTTGAAATGTACAGTCTGGAATCAACAATAACTGCGGCTGTAGCTCAAAACAGTTATTTTCAGCAATAAGTCTATCACGGAGCTGAGTTTGAAGCTGATCTTTGAAATTACAGCGCGCAGCCTGAGTCTGCAGCTGAAGAATGAGGTCTCAGACAGACTGATTCGGATCACGAGGAAGGCAATGGAATTTCGCTCGCTCAGCTGCTTCGAAGTTGACTGGCTGGAAATGCTTTAGTAACAGATCCTTGAGTTCTTCATACTTCAGTTGTATTGGTGACTCTGGGAATGCCAAATATTTAATCAGTGCATAAGCTTGCTTTTCAACAGCTGAGAGAAGACGTGCCGTCTTCTTCTCGGCATCCAGACTCTTGCGGGTGAGCCACCAAATCTCAAAACGCTCCAAATAATCTTCCACATAACGTGAATTAGAATGAATATCAACAATTTCCAAGTTGCAGGTGTCCATAATGAGATAAAAATACCGGCCGCGACGCCAAATGTGGTAGTCTGTACTTGGTATCAAGAATTGAATCGCAATAATCCGCGCAATTAAGCTCCAACCGAACTAGTACGCAGTATGAAATAGAACTCCAGAATATTGGAAGTCAGATTGTGTTACGCGCCGAAATTGTACAAAGCAATCGATCATGTAAAGGAACAAGAATGTTCAGTTTATACACAATCACCACAAATTTCATCCAATTCCACAATTCTAGACGGACACGGAGCTGTTGGTTCAGACAAAAAAGTTTGTACAAACATCATAAAAAATTCCTGGACGAAATACGCTATTAATTCCACAAGCAGAGATGTCGATATTTCGGAATTTTCAAAAACGAATTAACGCAAATAGATATAATGTTAACACATGCCAAGTTTAGATTTGGCTCAAGTTACCATCCGGCACCCCCCCTCGGCGATTTTAGTTAAAATGAAACTACCACTCATAAGTAATAACACATTTTCGCAGCATATAAAGGGACAGAAATAATGAAAAAATAATCTGATAAGCAGTAAATGATAGTTAACAAGGATACAACTACGTAACATGTTGCAAATAAATGTCAACATCATTGTTAAACGCCTGTACAGAAAAATTAAACCACATTCGGTACTGTACTTCATCTAGATGTTCCCATATCACATCTCCGACCGACTCCGTAACGTTTTTCAAGCGCCTTTTGATGTGGCTCCAAAAGGACTCAACGTTATTAGTATGAACACCAGTTATGGGGTTGACGAAACCGTCTGTTCGCTTAACACACATATGTATGTAACCTAGGGAACAAAGTGATCGGTAGGCTGTCCACTGATCGGTGTAAATTGTGGTTTCAGGTTGCACCCAACGTTGGACAATGGGCAATAGAACCTCCGCAGAGCGGTTCTCTACCTTTTGGAAATGTCCTTCTCTCAGATTTCGCTCGTACATCCCGATTCTTCACACTGCGGGTACCGGGCAACCTCTACCATATTTACTTTTGACTGCGACACTTTCATCCACTTCCACAATGCTACCGACACCACCCAGTTGGGTTGACAGTGAACACATCACTGAAGAACACATCTCTGCAATAAGTGTATCACTGAACTGGACTCTTGCGTGAAACATTTGCCATAGCAGCGGCACGTGTCAC